CATTTTACACCTCAAGAAGGCTTAACATACAGCAGGCTGTGTTTCTCCTTTTTGTTTTTCAGTGTGGAATTAACTTTTAATTGTTCCTTTGAAGCCAATGCACACTGATGGTGCTCCTCACTCAATTTCGTAATTTGAGCAGTTATGTACATATTTAGCATGACAATTACCCAATTTCCGCATTTAATTGCAGAACTCTGACAAAGGCATGTCCCTAACTTCTGAAGATATTTAAATACATGTATCCTGTATTAAAATTCTTGAAAACATACAAAATATTTACAATCTAATAAAGCATTGCTTCTTAGGTATGTGCATAATTATCTTTTCATATGGACTGAAAAGATTTATCATATACAGTAACAATTTTAATAAGACTCTTTTCTTTAACTGTTTTCTAGTAAAACTTGTAAAGTTTTCTACTGGTAAAGCCTCTTGTTTTGAGAATACCTTTTCATTACATCAAGATGAACTGTCATTAGAAAGTGGGAAAGACCAATATATAGGGAAAGACCTACAGTATATTCACAGCAGAAACTGGAAGGGTAGATGCCTGCTTTCTTACCTAGTTTGTCAGAGCACCTACTAAAGGAAATGCTTGCAGATATCTTGTGTTCAAAAATAAAGTGAAGCAAACAAAGGTGAGAGAACCATTAGAGAACTGTAATCAAATAAATGCGCTCTATAAGGAAGCAGACTTTCAAGGAATGAGACAGTCTAAGGCAAGTTAAACGGTATTATGAAAATGGTAAAAAATGAATGGTAACAGTATAAAGAGATTCTACTTGAAGCACAGATGAAATTGATCCCAATAGTGAACAAATAAGCTGAAAACGGTATCCCAAACAGTTCAACAAATCAATAAAGAAAAGTACAAAGGAAAAGAGTACTTTTTAACAATTTAATGATGAAAAACAAGAAGAAGTTCAGGTGGGTAGCTGCATCAGCATGCGTAGGCTGCAAAGGAACAAGTAACACAATGTTTCAGCCGTGGAGCCTTATTCAGGTGTCACCTGAAGACACCTGACACCTGAAGAAGGCTCCATGTCCGAAACATTGTGTTATCTTTCTTTTTTCAGCATGGAATAAACCTATAACTTGTTCCAAAAACAAGAAGATAGTGTTTCAGAAAAAGTGTATAATGAATCAAAATCACATGTAGAGTAAAAATTACCATTAGAAAGGAGAGAAATTGAAAGGTATATTGCAATTGAGGCACAAAACAAATAAGTTCTTTCAAATACCACAACAATAAAAAAACACTGAGGATGAAATAACATGGGAAAAAAAAGAAAAAAAAAAACTCTTGACAATGAAAGCCAAATGGCCAATGTACTAAATTAGTATTTCATTTTGGATTTTCACTAAGGAATATGTTCAAAATATGCATTAGGTAGTAGAATGACAAAGTTCTGTATTAAATAGAATTAGCACAGACAAGGGATATGTGTTTTCAGAATAGAGGCACTTAAGATACCCCAAGGCCTGATGGAAGCTTACCAAATGTACTCAAGAAAAAAAAAAGAGATGTTATTCAGAAGCCATGAACACAAATCTAACAACAGCTGCTTAAGACAGGGTTAGTACCCAAGGACTGGAGAATTGCTAAGGTAGAATCCATCCATTAAAAGGTGAGAAAAATTAACCAAGTAATTATATGCCAATAAGCCCTACTTCTATTAACTGCAACGTTATGAAAACAGAACTAGATTATTAACTATATGGAAATAATATCCTAGGAAATAGTCAAAATGGATTAAGAAAAGGTAGTTCGTGCCTAAACAGCTTGTTACCAACCAACTCTGAACCATACTGGATACACAAAGGCCATATCATACTGTATGGTGTATTTAGATTTTCTAAAGGCTTGTGGGAGACATTCAGGGAAACAATTGTATGGATTGAAAACAGGTTACTGTATAGAAAAATAAAAAAAGGGTAAAGATTGGAACTGAATGCAATACTTGAGATGATGTAAATTGTGGAGTACCACAAGGACCTGTACTAAGACCACTACTCTTCTTAATTTAATATAAATGATTTACATTCTGGTATAGTTGAAAAACTAAACCAGTTTGCTGATGATACTCAATTAGGAAGATTAGCAAACTCAATAGAAAAAATGGCAGATGACATTTGATGTAGAAAAGTGCAAGATTTGCATGCAGGTAGAAAAAAACACAAACTATACATAAAATGGGAAATGCTGAATGTTACGTCCCCGAGTGTGTCCATGTTTTTGTTTTTTTCCGCTTCGTGTATTCAGGGACGATTGTAATGATGGACCATTCCATATAACATCATCATCAATCAGCTTCTCCACCAATCAGAACTAAACTTCTTCAGTATTTAACTTGGAGGTTTTCCGAATGAGGGGGCCTATAGCTTGACATCGGTTCTGCTCGGCTCAGCTGGATTTCTTTTCGCTTTCAATTTGCTTTGGCTTCGCTTCTCTTCGTTTTCGTTCGTTTCACTTTGTACGTATTTCCGTATTGCTTCGGATTTGTTTCGTCTTCTTGTACTTTCGTTTGTTTGTATTATCCTGTATTTCACCATTACCTTGCCCAAACGTGTTAAATCAACCTCTGTGCTCTTTTGTACCCAATTCCTAGTGTCTACTCTTGATTACTCTTATTTGTATTTGTAGTTCACTTGTACATTTTTGTGAACTTTTGTGTAAAGGATTAGTTAAAGTTGTCGGATATATTCTGGACACATAGTTGGTCTTTGTATTAGAAACACTAGTTTAGGACGGGTGAGTGCCTTTTGTCTTGTATGGTTTTGGGTAGTGAAGGTTAGGTAAGACGTTAGAAGATGCCAAAGACCAAGTGTTGCGGGTTTTTGTTTTTGGAAGTTAGGTCAGCTTCCCCTCATTTTACTAGCCAGCTCCATTTTCCTTATTTTCTTTCCTTTGGCATCGCTCAAGTTCCTTTTCCCTGTGTGTTTGTGTCCTGTTTACATACCAGCTACTTATTCACTTTAAAATAAATCACTTTTGCTCCAAACTTGTTGTCACGCTTCCTAAGTCCCTAACCAGAAACCTACCTGCATCCAAATCCATCCTAAATGTTACGCCCCTTTACCCCTAGACACTTGGGGTTGTAACACTGAACTAGAACATGCTATTTATGAAAAAAGTGTTTATGTGAGGAACGTGTGGAAGCCAACAAAAAGACAAACAAAGTGATAGGATATACAGTACAGTTAAAAGTAAAGAATTTAAATCATGGGATATTATGTCAAAATTGTAGGCTGCACTAAGGCCTCATTTAGAATACTGTTTGCAATTTAGGTAATCAAGTTATAGAAAATAGTCTTGTGGGAAAAAGGTACAGATGCCATTCAGTTTCTCCGGCATGTTTGGTGATAGCAGCTAAAGGACCAAAGGATCTTATTAATCTTATACAACATTTAATCTAAAAAAGAGCTTCTTGTTCTCTTTTCAAATACATTACACAGTTTCATTCCTCAACCTTCACTATGATCTTTAGGAAACATTAAAAACTAACAAACTTATTTTCAACATGACACTATTAACATGCATTTATTAATAATCATGCTATGATAGGCTTAAGAGTGCCTTGATATTATTTTAGTTGCAGTCTTTGATCTTCAAGTATCTCATTAAAGAAATATAAAGAATACTTAGCAAAACCCTTATTTTTTACAGTATCTAAAAATATAAAGGAATAAAATACAACGAACGACTTGAACAGTTATATATTCATTACCACAAGATTTTACATTTCTATCTTAATTAAACTCAAGAGTAAGGTGATACTAATGAGATGGGTGCGTGCAATGTTCCTCAGCTGGAATAAATTAAGCTTTTGATTTGTTTTACAGATAATAATACAAAGAATGAATAACACATGTTGTCATTCACTCAATGAACATAAGGACCTAAGGACCACTTCTCCCAGGACCACTACTTTGGGAGGCTTGCATGTGATTGTAGTCCCACAAATATCATTACAAATCTAAAGTACAGTAGTTCAAGTAGGTATCTGCGTCAGCATGCATTGGCTGCAAAGGAACAAGTAAAGGTTTATTCCATGCTGAAAAGAGGAGAAAAGAGACTCAACGTTTTGGCTGTGAAGCCTTTTTCATGAGCCTTCAGTATGGAATAAACCTTTACTTGTTTCATTACAAATCTGTTAATCAATGAAGTGGATTGAGTTTTCTGATTGTGAATACTGTATATAATCAGAAAAGACAGAATGAGGCTTTAGAAGGAAAGTCATGATTATTGTCCTCAAGTTTAAAGTTATTCATTTTATTATCTGGCTAATAAATGCTGAATTAACTGAAAAAATAATCATAATAACAATCACATGGCATGTATCTAAATTTATAACTACTAACAATATTCAACTTCAGGAATATTGTGAAAACTTCTTTAATTTAAAAGTAATAAGTTATTTGAATACTTGGTAGTTGTTAAATAAAGGCCAAGAATAAATTAATGATAATATGTTTCTCCTACCCATATCTGTCTTGGAATTGTACATACTGTAGTAATTTTCTCAGCACACAAACTAAGAGGTAAAACTGTTACGTTAACACCATAAACAGCTTCTTCTTCCATCACACATGTTTAGTACTATCCGAATACGAGTATTAATGAGACTTTCACTTAGTGCTATAAAATAGCTTTGCATTTAGTAAGACATTAATATTTCCAATCAACTATTAGCAGCCTAGAAAAAGGTCAAATGTTTTCTCTGGTCAGGAGTAGAGACAAGAAAAATACAGCACTTTTGATCCAACTTACAGAATCCTTTTTGCCCATGGTTTTGCTATGTGAGCGAGAACGGGAGATATTAAAGAAAGAATCCTTTTTTGTAGCTGACAAGGGAGGTGAAGCAGTATGGTCTCGTCCCCCAGGAAGACTCTCAATGCTTGGAGATGAGCTGACATTCTTGGAGCTTTGACCTTAAAGAGTGTAAAAACACACAAATTTACAAAGATGCTGAAGCATTGTGATAAACATTAAATCCTTTCCTATACTGTAGAAAGCTATTGGTTTTTTTCTCTCAATTTGCTTGTAACTGCTTTTTACACCCAAGTCATAGACTACTCTAAAGATTTATGAACACAACATTTAAGCTGTGGGAAAACAAAACTTTAACAAAGTGTTATATTGTACAAGATTCACCAAATCTTTCCTGAAGAAAAAGTAAAAAAAAGATAATTATTGGATCCTAATATTATGTCGATTAAGTTTCTGTATGAAATACATAAAATATTTGAAATTTTAAGACTACTATTCTGTGAGGAAAGAAGCAATAATATAATATGAATATATTAATTAATATAATTAATATAATAACGCATAAAAAGACAGTAAGAATGGCCATTACACTACATTCTTATTTTTTATTAATAATTTATTTTGACTTCTCCACAGGTTAAAATGATAGATTTTCCTTATGACTTATTTTGCTCCCATTTAAACAGCTATAAACTCAACCCTTAAACAATGTTGCCCCATTATGTTGAATTGCATATTATGTACAGTATACACATTTTTTAAAGTCAATATTTTTAATAACAACACAAATGCTCCAACTGAGCATTCTATGTGCAAAGGAAATGAAATGTCTGCAAAACTGCAAAGGAAATTTAGAACACTAAAATCTGTGAATCCATAAGTATTCACCCCCTAAGTGGTTGCAGCATCTTTTAGTTACTGCAGACTTCTCACAATTGGATGGTGCAATTTACTCCCATTCTAATTTGCAGATATGCTCAGGGTCTGTCAAGTTGTTTGGGAATCATTGATGGACAGCTGTTTTCAAGATTTGCCACAAACTCTCTATCTAATTCAAGTTAGGAACTGAATTTCTTATTTACAAATCTGCATACATGGCATACATAGTATTAGGAATTTGTTTTTTCACATACCCCAACTTGCTCTCCATGAGACACATAGATGAGAGAAAGTTGGGGTCAGAGCGCAGGGTCAGCCATTTATATGGCGCCCCTGGAGCAGTTGCGGTTAAGGGCCTTGTTTGGGAGCCCAGTGGAGTAGGATTCCTCTGACTGCCATGGAATACGAACCGCCAACCTTCCATCAACAGGCGCAAATCCTTAGCCACAGAGCCACTGCACCGCCCCGACAGTCCTACTGTATGATTAGTGAGGTGTTTTCTACTTGGTTGATATGTGTTATCACGTTTATTTCCAAATCCATGACTAAAACAATCTACAGTTCCTAGCTCCGTTTTTTGCCTTTTCTACAAAATGAACTTCATGAGGGTAAAAAATGGCAAAATGATTTGCTCAATTTTGGCAAATGTGGGTACAGCATTATTAACCCCTCTACTGACAGCTCTTGTGCAGAGCAAGTTGTTATGACCATCTGGGTGTGTGAATCACAATACAGTCACCTACGTGACCCTGTATTGGATAAAGCAATTAGAAAATGGATAGATGGATCTCATGAGACACTCTCTATGTTCTGTCCTGCAGTGAAAGATTCCATGAGGTCAGTGATCTCCCAAACCAGGTACTGGCTAGGCTCACACCTGCTTAGCTTCAGTAGGTTGCCAGTTATGAGCTGCAGGGTAATAGAGCTGCTTGCTTACTCTCTGGAGGTCAAATGACTTGTATAGCAAGTTTTCTTTAATCCCCCTATGGCAGTATTTGGCCATAATATGGCCAGCAGCTATATCACCTTGCAACTCAGAACTGGCAACCCACTGAAGCTAAGCAGGTGTGAGTCAGGTTAGTACCTGAATGGGAGACCTCATTCACTAAGGTTGCTGTTGGAAGAGGTGTTAGTGGGGCCAGCAGGGGGCGCTCACCCCGCGGCCCATGTGGGTTTTAATGCCTCAGTATAGTGATGGGGATACTATACTGTAAAAAGGTGCCGTTCTTCGGATGAGACGTAAAACCGAAGTCCTGACTCTCTGTGGTCATTAAAAATCCCAGGGCATTTCTTGAAAAGAGTTGGGGTGTAACCCCGGTGTCCTGGCCAAATTTCTCATTGTCCCTTACCAATCATGGCCTCCTAATAATCCCCATCTGTAAATTGGCTACTCTGTTCTCCTCCCCACTGATAGCTGATGTGTGGTGAGTGTTCTGGCACACTATGGCTGCCGTTGCATCATCCAGGTGGAAGCTGCACATTGGTTGTGGTGGAGGGGAGTCCCCATTACCTGTAAAGCCCTTTGAGTGGAGTGTTATATTATATAAGCGTTATATTAGTATAAGCAATTATATTTATTATTATTATTTACACATTTGCTACACTGAGAAGAAGTTAAATCTGAAAGATTTTACACAATCTATTTTGAATGCAATATAAACCATGAAAGTGAGAGAACTACTATTGAGCTACCCATGGCCCCACCTCTCCTTAGATACTGTTCCTAACTTAGTCGAGCTTTGACCAAGACACTATAGAATGCAACAGAAAAACTGAACAAAGCCTCAATCCCAGCCTTTATCTAGTAATCCGTCATAAATCCTTAAATGTATTAGATTGGTTGTTGTTACTTGACTAGACTGTTAATTGGAAGAATTTATCAACAGGTTTTTCTTATCTAAAATGCTGAATGCTGCTTCTGCTAAACCTCTAATAAAATGAGTTAATTTATTAGAGATGAGGCCACAAGCATTCAAGGAAAAATTTTGGTGCAGGACTCAAATTCATAGTCCTTAAATGTTACCAAGATAAAACAGTTTTGTTAAGAATAACGGGCTAAAATTCAAAACAGATGCAGAAAATGATAAAAAGCAACAGGAAATATTTAGTTTAAGGAATTTATTTCATGTAGTATTAACAATGTACTCCATTTGTGCTGTGGAAAGAAGCGTTTGTGCTGGTTTGGTTTCTGTGATGAAGTACCTTTTTTCCAACTCCACTACAGCAGTAATCTGTATTGTTTTTTACTGTACTGTTCATTTGATCTTATACTGTGTGCGGTTTCTAAAAAAAAAACAAAACAAAAAAGGGTGGAGTGGTGGCACTGTGGCTAAGGATCTGTGCCTGTGGCTGGAAGGTTGCCAATTCAAATCCCGTGGCAGAGGAATCCTACTCCATTGAGCCCCTGAGCAAGGCCCTTAACCCCAACTGCTCCAGGACCCCAAGCTTCTCTCCCTGTCTGTGTGTCTGTGTCTCATGGAGAGCAAGCTGGGGTATGCGAAAAAGATGAATTCCTAATGCAAGAAATTGTATATGGCCAATAATGTGATCTTATCTTATACTGAATGGTTTTAAAGCCACTACAGTGGCACAATGCACAATGCAGTATTTTCTGATCGAAGTACAGTATAAAAGAAAATTATGTTTTCTAATTTCTTTTTACTTAAATTAGAATTAAGAAAGTCTAGATTATTTTATGCATATGTAAACCTGAAAAAAATGTTGCGTTCACAACAGAGTACAACAATAAAGTATTTTATTGAGTAATCTTAGTTTTTTTAAACAGCATATCTTTTATTTTTAATGTTAATTTAATATTTAACATACTGTGATACATAAATGTCAATATTTTATACATATTAAATTTAATTAATGTAGAAGGGTTATTCCTATTGAACTAGGCACTGATTGGGATTCAAACCCAGGTGTTTCTTATGACAGCCCAGAACTCTACCACTGAGTCACTGTCTCACACTGAAGTGGTTACAGTATGCAACTGTAAATCATTCTCTGAGTCATTGAAAACTACTGACTTCTTTTTTAAAGGTATTTGCTTTAATTTTTAAAAGACACTTTATATTATAGATTTTTAAATCAATACTTAAACTAATGTTTTCTCATTACTATTTATAAACAAATACTAATAATTCTGTATACTATATTCAATTAAATAAATCACTATTAGTGTTACTGTGCAGTACGCCTAGCTCAGGAAAGCAATAATGGGTTAAAACACATTTAATTTGTATCATGGAAATAATATTTAATAATATGATAAAATCATGTTTATTGTACATTATGTTACACATACATGTTCACTGCACCACCTGGCAGTTTTACAAAGTAGTGTGGTCCTGCATCAGATTATTTGAAAAAATACAAAAACAAAAGGTTTTGGGTGTTACCATGCTGTATAATACATCATGTTTCTTTGCTGTATGGTGCATTATGCTGCATCTGTATATAGGATGTATTTGGCAGTAATACAAGCTTTCTTCATTTGACAAAGCTCTGCCATATAAAACAAGTAGGTTTCAACACCCAAAATGTAATTTGCATACAGTATGACAACAAGCACAAAATGTAGCAGACATAATAACGGCAGTCTCTAGAAGCAACAGCCATTTCAAGAAGCTTAACCTTGGGCTGATACTTGTACCAGGAACACAGAAGCTTTGTGTCAACAGTTGAGAATATCACAATTGTAGGGGATATGATGAAGGGGTAATTTTGATATGGTAAGGCTCTGCTCAGACGTACTGGTAAGCCATTACATCAAACTGCATATGTTGGCTTTCTACATTGTAATGCTTCTGGCAAATCATATCAGGGCACTTCACGTTATAAACCTTGTACCAACAGGACAACCACAATAGCTGTCAAAAATAGTTATTCGTGCAGAATGTACTCCTTGCACTAAATATTTAACTGTTGCTGAAAGTGTTAACTTTCAATACATCAGAATGAATGTAACAAAGTTCAAATACAATAGTAAGGAACAATGGAAAACTCATATACAATATGTCTCCAATGATGAAAACATTATATTATTACACTAAAAGTATTTGTAAAGAAAATTCTGTTCAGATATTCCTGAAAAACCCTGAAAAATTAGACAAAGGCTTAACATTGTACTCTCTCTTCAGATTTAATCTTCAGAATCACCTTTAAATATAACCTTGGAATCTAGGAAAAAGAACTCCTAGAAAGATATTTTGTTTTATCTAAACGTAAAGTAAAGGTAATATTAATTAGAAATTTAAAACTATAATGAACTGATCTACAGTACCTGCACAAAATCATCTAATCAGAAAAGACACATTTTGAAAAGACAAATTCATGTTTGGCTGTTTAGTTTTCAACTGCTATGGGCTTTATCATTTAAAGTATCACCATTAAAAACATCATAAAATATCTTCATTTTATCTTAAGGTAGATGTATGCCAGTGCTAAACAGAGCCAGTGACTAGAATTACTGATTTAATTCATAGATTGGACTATTCTCTAACACAGTGAGTGCATAATTGAACACAGTTTGTATTTTGTCAAGTAATGTACCTGAACACACAGCAGATGACATTCACTATCAGTGCCAAGCTGAGGCTGACATAAATCACATTTCCTGTAATGAAATCAAGAGACCCATCTAGAAAGATCCCACTGATATGAATAATTTATATCCAGGGTAGTCCACTCTTTTATAAGGATAAACAGAACAGATCTCAATTCTTGCTTTGACTGATCAAATTCAGGTAACATCTCCAATCAATTGCCATCCATGTCAACAATTTTTTGAAAGAACAAGCCAAAACAAAGAATAATACAAATGTTTACCTAATGTTCTTTCTGAATGTCAATTTTTGGGAAATCAAGGAATATCCTCTGCATGTCCTATTAGATTTAATTACTTTAGGTAGATTAAGGACAGAATAGTAGTTGTTTACAGCCCTGACTCGGACAAGATACAAAAAAATCATAGTGACAAAGGAAGACGCATTATTTTCAAGGAGAACACTTCAAAACTCAGTGTTTTTTAGATTAACTGACTACTTAAATACTTCAGTCAATCTAGTTGTTCAGGATCTAGTGAGTCACTCATGATTTGGAGACCTTAAGATAATGTGTAACTTTGGAATATTACTCATCATTAGATTACAGGTTAGTGTCTGCCATCCCCTTTCTGACAATCTGACAAGTCCATGGCAGTGCAGAATGCGATTCATGAAGAATTTGGAAAAGATGGTTGCTTCTAAAAGCAAGAAAGCGAGCACACATACTGTAGATGAACCAGCCTTATTCTTTACTACTTTTGCTATGTTTCCAACATTAACAAAACATAAGACCGCCACATTATTGATCATCTTAATTATAGAACAGATTTATCCAATAACAGAACTTCATAGGAACATTAAATTCTTTTTTTCTGTATAGCATTTTTTCCACACATGCCTCCAAGGATTTTATCTATGAAGATTACTGGCCATTCCAAGAAAACAGAGAACAGTTTTTACATTTTCTTAGTCTAAAGCGTTGACTATTCAAAGCACCTTATACAATACCACCCTCTGGTGGATTCAGTCTGGGTCTGCATGGATTTGACATAATGAAATGAGATAGTGAAGTTACAACCAACACAATGCATGAACAAACAAATGGCAGTGCTGCGGTCAGGGAAGGCCAAGAGTTGCCATGGCAGCTTTACCTTGGATGTCAGTTACAGTCTGGACAGGAATAGAGACCTGAGCACCGCCACCTGTAACTACATCTAACAAACAAAAGAAACTTGTTTTTAATAGGAAAAAGAAGGAAAAAAAAAGAATTACTAGCCTTTTCTTTCCCAATATACCAGTTTTACTGTATACTTTTTTTAAAAATGTAAATCCCACAAACAAGGGTTTTGGTCCTAGGAGATGTCTTACTTCATAAATGTAAACAATATAGTTTCATTTGTTTTGACTGACATTAAGAAGGGCATTAGGTCATCATCATTGTAACTGTATAGTGTCAACGTCGTAAATGTGCTTTAAATATTCAGTTGGCTATTCATATTTAATTTCTATTAAATTAATATATTTAATAACCTGGTCATTAAAGGGTGAGTGGATATTGTACAATGTAATGATGTACATTTTGGTGTGTATATTGAACATTTGCTACAAAAAGGAACTGAAATAATCTTCTAGGTTGGAGTATCCATTAAATTCTAAGGCTACAAAAAAACTATTGTTTAAATTTCAATATACCACCACCAGAAAAGTATTTCTAAGAGCCGTATTGCTTTGATTGCAATCCTCCTTTTTGTCTCCAGCATAAGATTAAGCAAGCATAAAAAATGTCTAAACTATCTAAACGATAGCTTTCAAAGAGAACTTCTTTCTATGTGTTGTCTTTTTGAGGTCATATAAAATCATTAGAAAGGTAGAGATTGTGTATCGATATCATTTAGTTTTAAAAATGAAAAAAAAAACACTTGAAACTGCTTAAAGCATAATTCCCATAAAGAGAAGTAAATAATTGTAGAAGAAAAAAAATTGGCTTCAGTGTAGTGACAGAAAATGGATTGCAAGAAAATATTCATATTTCCACCAAAAATCAGGTCTTTTTAGTAAGAAATATGTTTTCTAAAAGATTAATTATGTGAACGTTTGGAATTAGTAATGCATTACTTCCACAGCTGTGCACTGACGTAGACACTCACCTTTGCTGAGATGCACGGGCATGCTTTCAGACTTCAGCAGCCTGTGGTGCTGAGCCTGTTGCTGTGGTTGTTGTTGGATTTGTGAGGATTCGACCATGGAACGAGTTACAGTCGGAGCTGCCACAGTGCTCACATCACTATTAATGGGAGAGACGGTGCTTGCGCTGACTGAGATGGCAGGGGCGATTAACTTCCGGCCAAAGCTCAACAGGCTGCTTGACACTTTGTTAATGTTGAGCGGAGCTGCTTTGGCACTAGCTCTATATAACACGAGGGGAGAAAACAAAGCAGGACATGTGTATAATCTTCAAAAATGTTTTAGACTTTTTTATGACACAACTCTTTACTCTTGAACATGAAAACAGCCTAATCATACATTATTTTGGATGGCACAATGGTGTAGCAGTTAGAGCTGCTGTCTCACAGCTCTTGTGTCCTCAAGGTCAGTTCTGTGTAGAACTTCCATGTTCCCCCTCTGGCCAAGTGGGCGTTTTCTGACATTCCTCCCACAGTCAAAAGACATGCTGGCTAGGTCTGACCGAGTGCGCTAAACTGTCTCCCAAGTGCATGATTCCTATTCCCATTAGCTGATATTAGCAGCTATGGCTGGAGCTGCTGTCTCCTGGCCACATGCGGCACATATGATAGACAATACTTGTAATAAACCGCTCAGCTAAGATACCATTCATCCATCATCACAGAATTGCTTACTCTTGGAAAGGGTCGCAGCAAACTGGATCCTTCTCCAGAAGCACAGGCTAAAAGGAGGAACTAAACCCTAGACAGTCTATTGCAGATTTTAGCTAGCCAGCATGTCTTTGATGAAAGGAAACCGGAGCTTCTAGAAGAAAACCCACATACATTTTTTGGCACTAAAATTTTATATCTCCATATATTAAATGTATCTTAATGTAACATTGAAAAAAACAAGTAACTAAGAACATTTTTCCATTTGAACACTGTACATGTGAATGAACCGATTACTAAAATAAAAATTGGCAACCAATATGAAAGAAAATTCTTTTTTCATCATTACTATAATTGCGATTTTTGATTAGTGCTGGTCTCTGTACAGATGCGACATGTGCAAATTAAGCTGGAACTGCCTACACTGGCAGCTTTCTGGTATATTTATATACATCAGTGGTGAAATTCATAGCTCTGTGGCAGGCAGAACTTCATTTAATATATGATGCACCTGAAACATGTAACTGCGGGAGGTACCTTCATACTGCTGCAGTTTTGCAACCATTCAGTTGGTATTGCTGGCAACAATCCAAACCCAGAGTGATTACAGATTTGGAACAAGATAAGAGCTGTGTCTGGAGTCAGACTTTTGCCACAAAGCAAACTACATAGGTGAGTACACGTAACAGGATACTGTGTTTTGTTGCTACTGCAGCCATCAACATTTACTTGATGAAGAAAAAAAAACTCCTTGGCTCCAAACTACCCCCGCACAGCAGTGCAAGTTTACAGGCGTTCATTAAGCAAGTGGGGTTGCATAACATGAATTATCAAAAATAAAAGAGTCAAGCTTTCATCTCCAAAGTGACACTGAGTTTAGATTTCATGAAGCCAGGAACTACATTAAAAAAATCTTATTTATTTACTTGCCACAACAGAGTTAAGAATGTAACTATTTATGCCTTACTAGCTATCAGATGTCAAGGTTAAGCTGAACAGACAAAAGTGATAATGAAGCACTGATTGAGTCAGTACAAATCACCAAAGAATGGTCACATTGCATATTCCCAAGGCAAAGAAATATGTAATTAAACTAAAATACTAAATTTTGAGGCACTGGAACAAAATACAAGGTGTTTCAAACAACATAACAATGCATGTAATATCACTAATATTAAATGTAATAGCGTCAGAAGGTTATCTTTACTATAATAAAAGATATTTCATTGCCAGCAACTACTGCTGCACGCTGTATTGTTGTGCATTTGATAAATAAACTTTGATTTGATTTGAAACAGCATTGAGATCTTGTAAAAGCATGCCCATTAGCACTATAAATGTATATAATATTTCATATGAGGAGGAAGAGCAGGTGGATAAAACACTATTATACAATAATATACTATTATTCACAGACCCAAAACAGGAAAAACTTCTGTCTTTAATGGCACTGCACTTTATGTTTCCTTGATCATTTAATTAATAAAATACTAGATGTAGAATAACTTCAATGCTTCATTAAGGATTTTAACTTGTTTGATCATCAACTTTCTAAAAATAATTTTCCTGTGCAAACACAACTGTTCTAACAGGTATCTGCGGGTATTTTCTTGGTCAGCCATCTATTACAAAACAAGTTTTGAATAAATAGGTACTTTAAGAAAGTATTGCACAGGTATTTTAAGGAAGCATTTAAGCAAACACTCCCTGTAAAAACGCAAATTCAAATTTGGACGATAATTTTTCTAGTCATTTATCCTATCATTTACAGATGCGTCATCTTCATCTGAGAATGTCACTAGCTGT